GGGGGGGGGAGAACCACAATGCAGGTAGCTTTTTTGACATCAGTCAGCCCCTTAAAATCGTAGGATCTCTGTCAGAGGTCAGCTGGGTAAAACATGTTAAAAAGAAGTGATAGGCAGACTTAGAACAATGACGACAACAAAACTTCCTCCTATGGACGCCACATGTTATTCCTTTCAGGTACTACGACAACTAATTGGGGCACCCCCCTCCCCTCCCAAGCACATGGTCCTGAATATTTACACTCTCCCCTAATTAGGTTTTCCAGGGTCTGGTCTGTATCTTTGTAATTGTTAAAGTTGTATTGAATATGCTCATACAGTTATATAAAAACCACTCGTGGTATAATTATTTTTTTTTTAATGACTCAAATGTTAGTGCTATCCCCCACCTATGCCTGTGAACAATACACTCATTCCTGTTTCACCACGTTCAAGAACGGCAGTTATTCCAAGTTCTGTTTCAGAAGCCAACTTTTTAGGAAACTCAAGATGGTCTTTAGAACAACTTGTAAATCTGTCCATGAAGAATTAAAGGGAGTCAAGGCATTCTCCACACTAAACAGCAGAATCTAGTAGGAAAGCGGCATAGAGTTTCTCTGCAGGGATAGACAATACCTTTTTTAGTTTTTAACTAGCTCCTGGATAAAATATGGTGTATTCTCTAAAGAACTACACATTGAGATTAATTCCCCCAATACATGAAAATTAAAGTGGACTGCCAGCACCTGAAAGAATACTAAATAATCTGTATTAAAATAATAGCCAAATGCATCAGATTTGACTTTCCATGAACAAGAATTCTGCCCCCCCCTCCTCTCCAATACAAAGTGCTATCTATGTGTCACACCTAACCCAGCCTCAGACCTTCTATCACTTCCAGGCATCAAGGGTTTATGTTGAACACACATCTCAAGAAGGCAAGAGGACAGCAAGAAGAAAGCGAGCTCAGAAACAGAAGATTACAATAAAGTGCTGGCTGCAACTTGAGCATTATCATCATCAAACAAGCTAATAGAAAATTACAGAAGAAAACCAAGTTTTATTTGCATTAAATAAAAACAGATACTCTTGTTAGAGCACAGAGCATATGGCAAGATACAGGGTACAGAAAGCAACTAGTCTGCACAGAAATTATTATGGATTATGTTTAGAGAACCTGTACTTGAGGTTTATACAAAGCAACAGACTGGCAAAGGAAAAACCAAGATGCTTTGATAAATCTCAAGATTGGACAGTTAAAGGTTGAAAGAGGTACACTGCACAACAGTAGACACATTCAAATCTGCCAGAGTACAAGATCACTGCTTCTTTTCCCAGAGCAGTAGGAATCAAGAATAGCTATTAACTTCATTGGGAGCAAATCTAGTTAATGGTAAGGGTTTTTTTTTCCAGTAACTAGGATAGATGGGGCTTTTTTTTTTTTTCCAGTAACTAGGATAGATGGGGCCTCCACCTACCATCTCAGTTTTGAGATACAACAAGACCACAAAATTCTGAATGAGAAATTCAGGAAAATAGGATGGACTAAAATCAGAGTTGGACGTAGCCAGATGAGTTCCGTTTCCCACCAGATCATTGCTTTGCAGAGCTCAGTGTCCAACTGCAATCAGAACGCTCTATGAATTCAGCAAGGAGATTTCAACAGTAGTTCAACCTCAGAGCTTGATATTCAGGAATGGAGAGACAGAAATGACCGTCATTTTAGGCCATTTAAGTTGCTTGTTTATAAAGTAATGTGTATTTCAGAACTTGTAACACATTACCTGGATACCAAGCGCCATGTAAGATATGCTTCGTTGTTTTCATTTCGTACCACTATGCTTACCAAAATGCTTACAGAGCTGCATTTGAGTGGTGGCAATTGTTGCACATACACAGTTTACTTTCAGAAGGATTTTCCATACCTTAAGAAGAAATTTATCTAAATTCAACCGTGCAGGTTTAGAAGGTTGTATGTAAACATCCACATCTAAGGTCATCAGAAGTAGAAAGTCTTCCTTGATAGTTGGTGAAAAAGAATCTGGCATATCTGTAACCTAGCTACTCTGTTTTAATTCTTCCCCCCCCCCCTAAAAAAAAAAAAAAAAAAAAAAAGTCATCTAAAATATCCCGTTCTCTCCTCTTGGCATAAGGGCATCCAACCAGGTCCCATGAGGATGGCTAGTCTGCAGATGACTAAACTTAGATCAGATAAATGTTGCCTTATAGAATTTATATACCAATACACTGACCTATTTAAGTTAAAATCCTGTGTGATAAAAGAAAAATGATCTCTTACTGATCAAACTATTCAATAAGTTTCATTTTATCTCTCAGGTGAAACTGAAAATGAAACCCACAAGTGATTTGAGCTGGAAGTGTTTGGGTATATAAATTAACTACATAGTCATCTAAAATATACTAGAGACCAATTTATTAAACGTAATTGGGCAAACCACATTTGCTAAAATGTACACACACTTTCTAGGAAAAAAAACCATCTTCAAAGTCATGGTGGGCACCCAAAGCTTCTACATCCTCACACAAATCTGACATGCTGATTTTTCATTTTGGGGCAGCTATCGTCATACTCAAATACCGCAATTCTTTGTGAAAAAACAGCAGCAGAGCAGAATATGCCTCACACCAGAATGGCATTTCCAGGTCTCTTTTCTATATCATCTTAATTTATTTATTAGTATCTGTATTATAAACATAAGATATGTTGTGTTAAACCCTGCTGGGCAAAATGCCTAGGAACTAGACATTTTCTTGAAGTGTGTGTGTGGGTGAGACTGCCCAACCTTCTTCCACCTTCAGAATCCCTTCCTCTTACAGGGAATAAAAGGCTAAAAACGGGCACCAGCACTACAAATTCTACTTTCCAAGCAACTGTGATTATGACTGCAAGAATTGCCTACATTCAACATCCAGACTGCAAATTGCCTTTCATTTGGAATTGAAATTGTGTGGGTTTAGTACAAACCAGAGTTTGTTCACAAGTCTTTTGTGGCACTGTGCAACTTATAGGCTTAACACTGAGAATGACATCCCAAAATATCACAAAAATACTAATTTGGGTTAAATAACATTTCTGACAACATTTGTGCCTGTATTAATGGCTTGCAAAGAACTGAAGTGTCACTTGTTTTTCATTGCTAAGGATAACTACATAGCATTTCTATGCTACACGCTGCACAGATGAAATCCAACTGAGCACGCTCATAGTAGTTGGTCCAAACGTAACAACATGCTGGCCATGCTCATTTCCTCAAGTCTGGTTAAGGATAAAGCTGAGGGCTACAGACCCACATGACACTGCAAGAAGCCTAGAGCTCAACTGCCAGACAATGACTTCTTGGTGCTGAACAGCTGAAACTGTATTTGAGGATGAAACCAGACAGATACAAGCTGTCAGAGGGGAAAAGAAAGGCAGCAATGGCAAAGTCCACTGCCAATGAGGTGGAGGAGGGATATCACGGACGTACTAGAAAGACAGGAATACCAGAGACAGAACACAATGGGATGACTTCAAAGATGTGGCATGTTCCACTATGCCAAACAGTTGACTATGCACTTCATCCAAGCATGTGCTTCAAGAGGAGTTTGACTTTGATTGCTGGAATCTACAGTGTCTTGGTCACTTGGCAAGGTAGCTCAAAATACCGGTAAGTCCAGTACGTGACATGGACGTCTAACAAAGGAATACAGAAATCATTGTCAGGACCAGCAGGCAAGCAAGAGGGAA